CGCTCTGTTCTCCAAGCGGGCCTCCTTGTAGCTTTTTCTGTATTGTCAGCCACTGAATAGCATTAACCCCTGCTTCAGGGACATGAATGTAATATTAACAGATTCTACAAATGGGAAAAAAACGACCATCTGACCAGTAGTGGAATATTAGCTGGGGGACGGTGGACACAGAGAGAGCATGGAGAGTGTGTGCGGGGCATCTGTGTGACCGTTAGGCTCCTCTAAAGCCAGCGGAGACAAGGCTATTGATTTTTCCGACAGTGCGGTGAGGAGGTCATTGTGGCTGAGAGCTTTTTGGGGGATCTTTGCTGTTCATTCTGCCAGCTCTTTACCCCCAGGCTGGTCAAATTGGTCTGCTGGGCAACATTGCTTTTGAAAGGTTCACTCACTATAATGCTGTAGAAACTATCAAAAAATAATACCTTAATAATCTGACTTCAAATGAAAAAAATTGTAGTTTTTAAAGAATGTCATTAGGTACACTCTTTAAAATAAAGGTAACAAAAAGGGCACATAAAAGAACCACTTTTTGTTCCCAAAAGAAAGCTTTTTATGAGCATATGAGTGTGAGGAACAAATGTAATATGTGAAGGTTCTATGCCAATTAAAAGGCCTACATCATGGGGAACTGAATTTGTTTTGCTTTTTTTGAAATAAAAGACTTTTTATGTAATATGTAAACATACTACTCTCTCTTTCTTTTTGAATTCATTGTTTTTGTAATGTCAGAAAAACCAACACATTTACACACATCCACCTATTCAGCACTTTAGATCCACTCATTCACACAGATGTTATAAGGAGTCTTTCAGCCTGGGTTGCATTTTGTATAACAGTTTTTATTTTAGAAAACCACACAAACATCATAAATGGACCTCAGGAAACATGGCCCCTTTAAGATTTTTTTTACTTGTTAAAAATCCATACATCCAAGCCAAGAACCATTTAGGAACCTTTATTTTTGTGAGTACACTCACAAAAATGCACTCGAGATTATTTTCTATGCATGCAAAAGGTGAATTATTTGCATTAAAAAGCCTTACAGAGCTTGCAGACCCCTTTAGCTTCCAGCACACGGTGCTGATGCCTGTACTTGAGGTTTTAAGATATCAGTGAGTGGCTGTTGATGTCAGAGAATTAGAATTTCAGAGTAGTAATTGGCTCTGTTTCCCCCTGGCTGGCTGCATTGAGGCCCGGCCTGGAGCCCCTGCCAACGGCTCCATCCCTTTTTGTTTGGCGACACTGTTCATGTCTGCATTTGTCCCTTTTGATAAGGCCTTTCATCCTGTTTGCATTGATTACAGCCTGTCGAGTCACCCTGATACACTGTGGGCCATTCATGCCCCACCACCACACACTGGGCCCATTGTGGGGGCTGGAATGTGTGTGCGTGTGTGTGTGCGTCCTTGCCTGGCTATAGGCTCCAGTTGGAAAGCATGTCAGTACTCTGGAGACGGCGGTGCAGAACAGCACCCACCCATCATGGAAATAAGCCCCCCATTTTCTGCTCCATGAGCAGCAAACGCAGATTGAGTGTGCGCAGGAGAACGGCACATTACTCATTTATGTGATGAGAGTTTGCATTTCTCTTCTCTGGGTTTTGTGTGTGTGTGTCACATTAATGACCACATACTGAGCAATCTGCATATGGCACCAATCAGCTGGTGATGAATATGGCTATGTTTAATAATTTATCTGTGTCTTGTTTTTCGATGCGCAAACAGTAAATGGAGCTCCAAAGATGTATGGCCTCCTTATCAGCAGGCGTCGTATCTTTAGCAATGGCTAGGCCCGGTTTAACGGAAATAGTTGATGCTGTCAAAAGTTGGAGCATTAAGCCTGAACTCTCATGTGCAAACTTCTGTTCAATGTACTTTATTAATCTCACATAAAATGTTGACGCCTGCAGAGCATTACGACTAACCATGTTGTATTTAGCTAAGCGGGAATCATTTTTTGGTTTAAGAATAGCTGTGACATTACCTCATCAGCCGTCTGTGTAAAAAACAGACCAACATGCCTGTACACTTACTTTTAAGAACACATTGAGTAGCACGAAGAAACTTTTCATAGCAGACAGAAGAGCCTGACAGAACATTTGTACTGCTTCAGTTGTTCAAAAGTGAGGAGAAATCTTTTAGTCAGGTTAGGTTAGGTTAACTCAATAGGTGAGCTAATGCTAGCCTTAACAGTTCAACATGAGATGAGAGGCATTCATCGTCATCCACACAAGGTAAATTAGGTTTTGCTCAGTGGATAATGTGGAAACACATGACTTATCAAGGTAATATTGACAAAAAGTATCTTTTCTAACATCAGCTAGTCCAGTCACACTACCTCAGACTTCTCAGTCATGTCCATGGCACATTAAGGAACTCTGTTTCCCAGTAATAAAGTAAAACAACAAGACGTTACAGTGATTGAGACCTCATTGTGGCACCGAGTTGCCAGTTTATTAGGTACTGTGTACCTACTGTACCTAATAAATGTGTAGATGTAACTATAGTAGCATGGAATAAACTTTTTTAAGCAACTTTTTTTAAGTGTCAACATTTAACATTTTCAGTTTTACAAGTTGACCGTGCAAGAATCTTCCGTCACTTTTGACAGCGTCAACTATTTTCGCTACACGTGATCATTCGTGGTTGGGTTCCTATAGTAGCAAACACAAGCGCTAACAGCACTACAAACTGGACCCTCGGTTACTAAATCGTTTGAAGACTTCTGTAGCCGTGCCTTTAGGTGGTTTGGGTGTGTGTGAGGAGAACCAGGTGGGTGTGTGGGAATCAGGCAGTGCACTCGGGTTGAAAGTGGAGAGGGCGATCTCTTGTTCTGTGAAGAATTAAAAGCACCTCCGCAAATAGCGGCATGTGTAAATCCTGGGGGTGGGAGGTTCACAGCGGCTGAGGTTTCCGTATAAATAAACAGTGAGTGAGTGAGGGCTGCGTGGGCGGACGGCCCTGGCCCCCTACTCCAACCCCGCCACCCCCCCCTCTCCGGGGTTAGGGCCAGCCTTTTGTCGCTCTAAATCCAAGCACTTTCTGTTCAGGAGGCTGGAGGGGGGTTGCCTGGGAGAGATTAGTCTGCCAGTTCTGGCGCGCACACGCTCACACTGCTTCTTTCTCAGCCAAAAGGAATGGCCCAGATAAACACCTCCTCATTTTTTTATAACAAGGATGGACAGAATCAAGCGCCTCAGCCCCGAGCCCGAGCACAAAAACCTGTTTGTGCGTCCCTGTGTCTGACACCATCGCTTCGCCACTGAAACCGCAGAATCCTTCAGCTATACAACCTTGAGCCATAAGAGCTACCAACGCTGGGATAAGCGTTAAGCTTTTCCATGGCGCACTGCGCTTTCTCCATATATACAAGACCACCCTATTTCTGCGGATGGGGTTGCATATCCTGAAACATGCAAGAATGGCAATTAAACTGTCAGATGAAATGTATTATTATTATTATATTGGTTAGAATGTCTTGCTTTATCTGGAAGTAATTAGCATATAATTAAGAATATGCTCCCAACAGAAAAAAAGATTTGTCACTCAAATAAGACACACTTTTCTCTTAGCAATGACAAAAAAATGTCAAAATGGCATCTTATGTTCTGAGAATATAACTCTATTTTTTAAAAAGAGCTACCAAATATGATACTTTTAACACAGAAGGCAAATGTTGTGTCTATTTAACGTTGCTGTGGTTTGCAGAAACGCACCTAGTTTGATGTTATCCATTAATGGCTAACAATAATTTTGCGTGGAAGAAATTCGCTCTTTAAAAAACGCTATTAAGTGTTTGCATGCTCCTTTGCTCCTTTGTTTTATGTAAGGCTCTCATTACCACGTGGTAGTAACAGATTGTTTGAACTGGAAAGAAAAGCCATTCGAAGCTAATTAAGCAGCCATTCCAGGCACTATTCACGGGCAGAAGACCGAGAAGCGCAGGCATTTGTCAGCGCTTGACCCCGCGTGGTATTGATTGACAACAAACCTGCCTGAATGACAGGCTTAACCTTCGCCGTCCAATCAGAATGGAGGGAGCAGGCGAGCTGCGCGCTGATTGGCCGAGGCGCTGTAAAGCCGCGGAGCGGGCCCACGTGGGTGAGACGACACAGCCGACACGGGATAGGCTGTTACTCCTCAGCACAGACATGGCCGATGTTCACGGGGATCAGACCCGAACAATCAACTTATTCCCAACGCTCGCTATCTGTCCATCCAGATGATAGGTCATATTCTCACGGATATGCACCTTAAAGGTGCCGTTTAAAAAAGAATAATAATAATAAGGTTAATTCTAAAGAGTTCGTGAGGTTGAATACAGCAGTCGGTCTGTTTTGAAATAGATGTATGAGGAACACAGCAGCTGAAATATTAAAATGGGAAAAAACGCATCATGCTTTCACATCAAAATCATTTGTAACCACGCTGTCAAAATCAGAATGACACAAAACATAGGTGTGTGTGCTGTTTTCCCTTTTACAGAGTGAACGATAGTGGGTTGAGAATAAATGTAATGTTAAATGTTAGCCTATTTTAAGTCTTAAAGATTTACTTTTGCTGCGTGGCTTTTGTTGCCTTAATTTCAACTGTTTTCTGTTTCTTGTTGAAAAAGTACTTTGTTGGGAGAATAACATTTAGCTCTATTCCAGTACACTGTTATAGTACGCTGAGAGCAGCTGGATTATTTCCTCGGGCAACGAGTTTCCATTTTATGCATTCGTGCGGTCCAGCCGAAGCTCTCTAAACGAAGAAAGTGTGCAGCACCGCTCTACTTTGTGCAGAAATACCTAGAAATGTGGTGATTGCAAAGCTACCTGTTCTGATCTAAAATGGCGAGGATGATGTCATATGTGGACCCGCTGTCCCCACGTGGGGAGACCGCGCTGCGATTGGACGAGCCGCAGAGACGCCGTGTTCTGCTCTCCGATTGGCTGGAGCGAGGCGCTTTCGCGGCGGCGGCCCGGCCCTCGTGTCGGTGGACTGTCTGTGTGTGGCACAGCGCTGCTGGACGGACGGAGGGGAAATGTGAGAGTGGAGTACAGCGGTGCACTCTGAAACCTTCCAAACCTCTTCAAAATCGGAAGTACATTTTGGCACCATCTTTTTTCTCCCCCCGGATTACCCATACATATTTTCCCCTTCTTTTCTGACACCGCTCGACCGAGCCTCGGAGTCTTTTTCGTGTGTGATTTTAGTGAGTTAAATCTTTGTCGCCTTTGCTTCGGACGCGCAGAGCAGGAGTCCCAGTCGCTTCCACTCACACACAGAAAGAGAGAGAGCACGGGAGATGTGGACGGCGACCAACGGGGCGGTTTTTGACGATTGGACGCCATAAAGTACGCATACGGCGGTGGCCCTGGTTATTTTTTACAAGTTATCTTCGTTATTTTGACACGGTGGATGCGAGTGGACGTTTGAGACGCGAAAGCAGGTAGGAGGCAGGCTAGCACGGTTAGCTAGCCACACTAGCATGTTATTCAACAAAGTCTTCATTCAGCGTCGCTCGGCGAAACAGAGACTGAGCTCGACAGCCTAAGTTAGTCTCTGTCACTCTGTACACACAGCGGTTATTCGGACTTGTTTTTTCTCTTATTTTCTAGTCATGTGAACCACTGGAGGCTTAATGTGTAAGAAATTAATGGTTAAACTAAGAAAAAAAGCCCGACCGCGTGTCTTGTTGTGAGTGCCGTTAGCCGTTGTTCGGTTCTGTTTATCGAGGCGCTGCTTGTCTAACTGTGACCATTTAGCTTAAGAGCCTGTCGAAATTCTCAGCCAGCGTTGGCAAACAGCATTACAGCGCTAAGCAGCACCTCGTTAGGTTTGAAGAGGGATTTTTAAAGGTCACCTGACAGATTGAGCGAGTGTTGTAAAACGTCAAAACTGATACAATCGTGAGCTGTAGCATACAATTCAGTACAGCGAGCTAATTGTTCTTCGTTTTTCTGTGTCTGTTTTTCTCCTTCATCGTTTCCCTGAAGAGCTAAAAGGGTTCGGGGAGGGAGCAGAGCTCGAACAGCAGGGGTTTTGGTGTCCGGGGCTTTTGTTTTGCCCCCAGCGGCAAGTTTAGGCTGTTGGTGTCCGGCTCATGTGCTGATCACGGTGTCTGAGAGCCTCCTCAACACAGAGACCAGCGAGATCTCTCCTGCTGAATAAAGGATACAGTTCAAGATGTATCCACAAGGCCGGCATCCGGTAAGTGGTATTTCTTTTAATTTATACCAGAGGTAATTATTGCTGCAGCTGCATGGCTTTAACTCATATGTGAGGGAGAAAATGCCCTGTCCATGACCAACGACATCCTCATGTTCAGCTCACAATGAGTTGGTCTGCTAAAAGCCCTCTGTTCACGCCACCATAGTGCTCTGAAATGAAAAGCAGGTCAGTGGGTAATGTTTGGCTTTAAAAACACCCCCCACCGACAATGCCATCCACCCTTGTTCACTGTGTCCTGAAATGCAGTCAAAAAATGCTGCCAACCTTGAAGAGTGAAGAATTCCTTGAGCTGTATGCTCATCCGTAGTCGTATTTGTTTACTAGAGCAAGGCTGTGTTTTCAGAAAGCATTAAGTTAAATTGCGGGGGAAAAAAAACAGAGAAAAGAAAAGAAACAGTATTATTTTTTATTATTATTATTTTTTTTTAATTCTCTATTTTGGTCAGCTCAGGTCCATCCATGCGAGGCGACCCCGTTTCAGTGAAGGCTTTAAAGCGGCCGCAGAGGTTGTCCCCCTGCCTCGGCAATCAGGGCCCGTAGCTATCGGGCAGATGTCACTGTAGCAGAGATGTCACCCGGGCCCTCATTCGGGGGGCTGAAATATTAGAGTCGCTCCCCTGCGGGCGCAGAATGCATTAGAGCCTTGCTATTGCAGTCAGTGGAAAACAAATTTGCTTCTCGAAGGATGTAATTGAGTTTGATTGATGTGATGGCTGTCTTTCAGGCGCCCCACCAGCCTGGTCAGCCTGGCTTCAAATTCACAGTGGCGGAGTCCTGTGACAGGATCAAAGACGAATTTCAGTTCCTGCAAGCGCAGTATCACAGGTAATAATCTAGGGCTCTGGGACAGTAAAATAACATCCTGTGCATTTACTGCAGACTGTATGAAACGGTTGCATTCAGACATCAATAATGCATGCTTTGGTAAGCAGTTTCAGTCATACAGCAGAATGGTTAATTTGTTTTGCTAACGACAGTGGCAATGAGAGACATACTGATATAACTGTCAGCAGTGGTGAAGACAGAAATTGTGGAGTCAAAGCCTGTGTGTTGTTATTTTCAGTCTTAAGGTGGAGTATGACAAACTGGCCAACGAGAAGACTGAAATGCAGCGCCACTATGTCATGGTAAGATGAGATCCAAAATCTAAGCTGCAATTATGCTCTTATTTATGGAGTGTATGGGGGAGGTGGCGGGTTATGCTTGGTGTATACCTGCACTGTTGCTGTGTGTGTGTGTGTGTGTGTGTGTGAAACCTCTACTAGTGCCTCCAGCTTTATTAAAGGGCCCTGAGTGACTGCTTTGAGCCCCAGGCTCCTTTATATGCCGCCCCTTAGCCGCAGGGGTCAATGACCATTGCATTGTCCCCTTTTTCTCTCCCTCTCCCCCTCCTCTCTATTCCTCCCTCATCCACCCCGCCCCCATCCCCCTCTCTCTGCCTCCCTCTGTGCGAGGATCTGATTATTCTCCAAGGAGACGCCGCTCTCAGACAAATGCACGGCTGTAAATTAGGTGAGGGGTGATGGAGGAGGGCCAGGGGCAGCTGTGGGAAAATACTCAATCGCCGCAGAAACGCCAGTGTACAGTCTCTCGATAATGAGATTTAACACACAAACAAGCAGCTCGGCTCGAAAATCTGCATTAATCTTAAGCACAGGCTTAATCATTTACACAATATCAAAAGGCCCAGATTCAATTGTAAATGTTTTGGGATCGCCAGGTTTTATGATTAGCAGAGGAAAAAACAAAGGCTTGACGTGATGTAACGCTACAAGGTCAAATCGTGGAAGTGTATTCTCTTATCTTGGGTAAACACACGAAGGATGACTTTAACCAATACCCAGGGACGCTGGTTAAACATTCCGTTCACAGGAAGAAGCTTGTCAGTCTGACAGGAGGAGAAGAGGTTAGGTAAACATGGAGAAGAATCCCCCCATGCTAACTGACTCTGCTGATGGTGTCTTTTACTTAGAAAGGAATTATCCAGGGCCAGAGACTCTCCTGTAGTGATTTTTTTTTGCTTTGTTTTTTTTCTTGAAGTGAAAAAAACTGGCAATATTCTTTGTGTTAATAGGAGTCCTGGTTAAATTGGATTTCTCTTGTTTAGACTTGAGTCAACTGGGCAGCATATGGAATGGAAAGAGGGTAGAAGAAAGAAAAGAGGGCAGATTTGAAATTCTGGTGTAAAAGGGTTTGAAGTGTTCATCAAAAGCTCCCTCTTCCTTTCACCCCTTCATGTTTAACAAAAAAACCTAGAAATCCCCTCCACAGGTCTCTCTGATGTGCAGTGAGAATTTTTGATGATATTGGGATATGGTGAGGGGAAAGAGACTGAATATTTTTCTTTCTGTTGCTTTTCAGTACTATGAGATGTCCTATGGGCTGAACATCGAAATGCACAAACAGGTATGTAGGCCTTTGATTTCTCCCCGACATTTCTCTCACCGTCTCTGTATCATGGACAGTGTCCTAGGGGGTGTGTGTGTGTGTGTGTGTGTGTGTGTGTGTGTGTGTGCGCGTGCATGCACGTGTGGAAATGTAGGCTCAGTTGCACTGACAAGTGAAGTATGCTCCATAGACATCATAAGAGATGGCCTGTGGTGTTTGGTGAAAGAGCTTGTCCCTCTGTCTCTCTATTTTTTTTTTTCTTTTTCCTGCTCACATACAAACACTTAGATATGCATAAACACAATTATTTCTTCCTTTTTGCTGCCTCTGCTGAGCTAACAACACATGTCTGTGTGGTCAGGCAGCTTTGATAAGATTAAAGTCAGGCATTTGGCAGGAAGGGCCTTGTGTCTTAATGACTAAAGAGAAAGGACTCTGCCCAGGCCCCATTATGTCAGCACATTTAAGACACCCCTATAAATTAAGGCTGGCGAAAAATAGCGCCCGCCGTAAATTCAGCCCTTCCAATCAATTTCTTACCACGCTGGAATTTCACAGTGCATATACCTGACTCAGACTCTCTTTTGGAATCAATCGTCAGATTGTGTTTTCTTTCTCTGCATGGCATTTTTCCAAAGGCTCATCTCGGATATATGTCTGAATGTGTGTTGTATTGTTTTTGATTTATCGCCTGGCTTTGTACACCAGATAAGGAGATAGACCAACAAAGCAACTCCTATCTTGACAGAAGGGTGCTAGCCTAGCTTAGCCCGCTCCCTTTGTACCCTCCTGCTGCCTCCTGAAGGTTAATGGCATAAGGGTGGAGCGTTGGAGCAAGCGATCCATCAGTGTCCTCCATGTGCGTCAGTGTGGTCGGCCGTCCATCAGGTCCCGCACTCTTCTGATGGCTCCTGTCGGCCACTTATCTCCCAGAAAGAAAAGGGGGGGGTAGTGATGGTGGGTTGCAGAGGCGGCTGGGCGGGCGAGTAGGAGGACCAGCCCTGTGTAAACAGGTTAATCGACTGATCCATTTTAGCACCTTGACTTTTATCAGCCACTGCCACTGAGCCCATGGAAGTGCTTGAATAATTCATCCAGTCCCAGCTCTAACCTGCTAGAGGCGAGAGAGGAGGGTGTTAGTGAGCAAACACGCGCGCACACACACACACACACACACACACACACACTATCATCCAGCTCAGCCCTCCCACATTAACCCCAGCCCAGGAGCATGAGTGCAGGCAGGGAGTGGTTAACCGCCAGAGGTGGCTCGGATTACTGCATCCACACCGCCATATTATCCTCCGGCCCAAGGATTTATTCCCACTGACAGGAAAATCCGTCTCTGCATCTGCAGTGTTTTTCCTCCTCCTCCTCCAGTGTTTTGTATTTTAAAGAGACGAGGCGTAATGCAGATTTTCAGGAAGCGCGTTAACGTTTGATATCCGCAGACAGCCGTGGCGGCAGACGGAAACGAGGCTCTAGCAGCTGAACTGCCATGTCATTGAGCTGCCAGTATAGGTTATTGTTATTAAGGGTTGATCCAAATTTCTCACCTGTTGTGAATGGCATAGGGAAACACCCCTCCCCCCCAACCCTCCTCTCAAATCCGGCCAGGTGGTTGCTCCCTGCATACTGAGACCTGGATTGAGCTGGTCTGCCTTTGCGGTTGACACAGGGACACTGATCAATGATTTATACAGAGGGACTCTAGTAAGTGTTTGCTAACTGCTGGATGGCCCTTCTTAGTGCGAGCCAAAGCAAACAAGACTCACTCTGCGAGGTGAGCACACACAGCCCCTGTTAAAAGAAAACACTGAGTGGTGGTGAGTGAGCAAGGGCTCAGAGCCCAGGCAAGCTCCACCCCTCATTTTCTCACTGATTAGCCTGTGGTCAGGTACAGAGAAATGTGCCAACAAGCTGACAGCGTGAATCTGTGCACAGTGTAGCGAAGGAGGGTTGTTTCTGTTGGTTTGTTTTTGTTGACATGTTTGTGTAATGTTCATTTCAATTCTTATGGACTACCTGGTCTTTCCACTGAGAGGAAGGATAAGCTAGTCATCCATGTATAACTAGAGCCCAAACCTCTGCCTTGTGCTGTACAGGTAGACTTAAACGCCAGTTCTTAGCTCAGTCTCACTCTAACAGCGCTGTTAGATGGCACGTGTGAGACACCTCTAGTCGTGTAGCTGATGTTAGTCCTTCATTACTGTATGTCAGTCAGAGAGCACCATTTCACTCTCTGTTGAAAACTAGAGCCCCATCATCCTGGCTGGGTCAAGTATTGTTTGTGATGGGGACACATGGCTGCAAGCACCAGTTGTTTTCCCTCTATATTCAATGCTCATCAGTGTCTCACTCCATTCCGCCACCGCTGATAGCAACAGACAAATAGCTTTCAGCATGCCATTGACAGACTGGCCCTAGAGTGCTCTTGAAGGGGTGCTAGACAGGTCCGAGTACCTGTAATTGTGTACCAGAGCGTGAAGCTCGCCACTCAAGAGCCGGGCTTTCATCTGCTTAAAGTGACAACGTCCTATTTTTATCCCCAGCCAGAGCGAAAAGGCTCCTCTCTCTTCCAGCTTTACACACACGCTTGCAGTTAGCACACTTGTACATATGTACATGGCTGCTGTTACATGTCGGCCCACCCTCCTCCCAACACACAGTGGTGGGGAATTTTTTTCTTGCCAGATAGAGTACGAAGGTTTAGAGTGAGTGACAGATAAGTCAACCCTTGACCCCACTCGGCCAGCTGTCAGTGTTGTGGTAAGCCCTTAAGGAATGCGCTCAGTGCTCTCCAGGCCTCTCAGCAAATCCTGTCAAATGTTCGGCTGCTATTGACAAGGTTTATCTTGGCAAATAAGGATTATACACTGAGCTGGCTCTTCAACCATTTTTGTTGATGCATTCGTCTAGCATTTTTTTTTCCCCTCCCCGAGCATTCAGCTTGCAAATCCTTGTTTTGAGTCATTTTATTTTTCTTTAAAAGCAAACTGTTGCTGTACACCCCATTACTTCAATATAAATCAAGCATGCTTTCATACAAACGTCCTAATGCTGACAAAATTATAAGGCTGGCTGTTTATTGCATGCAGAGCCAGCTGTCAGGAAAAGATGTTTTTTGAGAGCAGGGAATGTACAGAAAGCAAAGAATTTTTGGTATGTCCTCTAAACTGCTTTCATGTTGATACTCCACCGTGCCTTTGATGTGGAGCACCATCCGCCTCAGATTACTGTCAATATATCCCTGAATTCCAGCTGCTTGCTTGGATATTCCAGACTGTACACTTGTCTGTAGCCTGGCCTGAAATGAATCTCTCCTCGTCAGACGAAGGGGGGTGAGGGCAAAAACTTTCTTGGGTGTTACCAATCATCTCGTATAGAAATATTGTGTTTGGCCGCTACCACCACTTGGCATTTTTCGGCAGTACGTTATAAATAATTTCCCGGTCAGCACAGCGCTGCGTGTTTGCCATTGAAATGAGAAATAGGGCTGAAGAGCGCTGTGATGTGTTTGTGCTCGGCTCTGGCCCTGGGTTGAACCGAGGCTCATAAATTCCGTAGATGATACATCTGTAGCAGAGTTCTCTCCCACCCCCCTCCATCGCACCCCCTTCTGCTTTGGTCTCAGTCAAAGCCTGAGGTAGACCTGTGATGTGAGGCTCTTTCATCACTGGACGGGGCTCTGATTTGGCAGTGCTGTGTTCTTGCTATCTGCCGCCAGAAAGAAGGGAGGAAAAATGGAGGACGACCCACTGTAGCTGGCTTTCTGGGGTAAGACATGGATTGCTGGGTTAGAGAAGATGCTTTAGGAGGATGTGTGGAGAGAAAAGGCCACATTTTCTCCTTCCGTCATCCTCATTCACAATCCCCCCCCCCACACCCCTGCCACCATTCCCCCTCTTTATCCACCTTCCGCAAGCAGCGCTCATCTGATCGACAGGCCGAAAATTCAATTTAATGACCTGCCCGTGTGCCTGTAATATGATTTTACAGGCTGTTACGGTCAAGCCGAGGTAGCATTTGCATAATGATCGGAGCGCGATAGGAGATGGGGGCCGCTCGTCCGTAGTTGCCATAGCGACGGCCGGGCGGGCGGAGAGAGAATGGAGGTCGGGTCCCTGTGGCGGATTGGATGGATGAGGTGGAGGTGGGGGCGTTGGGGGGGGGCGGGGGGGATTGGTGCTGGGAAAATGATAGAGGATGGTGGGGAGGGGCTGAATGTGCCCAGGCTGCTGACAGATCTGGCCCTAGTCCACCCTCTCTCATTAGTGAGCACTGACTGCTGGCACCTACTAGCGCTACTGCTGCAGACATTTTCATCCCCAACCAAACGCCTCATCTTAATTCCAACATCAACACAACCGGCTTTTCAATATGTAGCCAAGCCTAGTCAAGGCTTAACTTTAAACATTTTAGCTATGCTTTCTCAAATACGACTGCAGCTCAGAGTATTCATCTCCATTGAATGTTGACATGTAGGTCACAGCACATCTTCGTGATACAGTATAGGGAGTAACAGGGAAGTCCTCAGCAGCAGTAGACTGCATTACCGGCCTGACAGTGGGTGAAGTGTAATGGTGCTCTTAACGCGGCTCGCCTCTGGCGGGCTCGTGTTCCGTGCGGTTTGGAGTGTACACTCATCGCAGCTGCGCTCTCTCTCCCCTGGGCTCTCCTAATGCTTTAAATATTTCACATGTCAATATCACGCTGTTTGGAGTGTGTCGAGTCAAGCGCTGCTGATTGCCATGGTAATTGACTTAATCGTTGTAAACACTAAAAGGGGTTGAGTCAAGCTTTTTTTGCCTTTTTGTGCTGTTGTAGTTTCCAGCCCTAGTCATTTGCCTTATTTTTTTTGTTTCTGTTTTTCTCTCTTCCAGACCGAGATTGCTAAAAGGCTTAATGCAATTCTAGCTCAGATCATGCCTTTTCTGTCACAAGAGGTGAGTTTTATCACATGTATTTACCATATGCAAAGTTAACCGCAGTAGCAGTTTTATCTGTAGAGATGCTGTATTGACACAAGTGAAGCAGTGCTTTGGAAATTCTTAAACATGATTATTCATATACTTTGCTCTGTTTATGTGTACTTGTCATCCATATTCATACATAAATGAGATGTTATTTATCACCCATATTATCATTATAATATGGAAAGAAATAGTGTCTAAAAATTCATCTAGAACATGGACTAATACATTTGTCGTATGAGCATAACAGTGGACCAAATTAAATATCTGATGTTTATGTATCTGATCACCAGTAGTTTGCACTGTAGCTTTAGTTGCTGCTATACTTTGCACTTCAGAAGAGTTTTTTAAACAGGGCATACCTCTACTTATGTATTTATGTTGAATAGTGTTTAGCATGAAATAGTTTTGTGTGTCTTGAGGTTTTATTTGTCTGAGTATTCTTTACCCGCTTTGTGTTGTAGCACCAACAGCAGGTTGCGCAGGCTGTTGAGCGTGCCAAGCAAGTGACAATGACAGAGCTGAATGCCATCATCGGGGTACGTGGACTTCCCAATCTGCCTCTCACCGTGTGTATACCCCTTTAATTCTTTTATTTGACTGTAGTAAGGGGGCAAAACTGCACTGTCATTACCTCAAAATAACTACTCCAGAATTTGTATTTGGAATAAGCTATTTGAACTGTAGAAAATTATCTTGTGCAGTTTTGCCCCGTTCTTGAATGCTTTTTAAAAAATATATCTAGAAAATGAAATGCATGTGTTAATGTACATGTTAATGTAATGCATGTTTAGTTTTTAACACACGTGTTATTGTGTGCTGTTCTGTGTGTTTTACTTGCATCCCTGACCGTCCTTGTGTTCTTTTTCTTTGGTACACTTAGCCGTTTGGTTAGTTATCTAATGCGTGACTGGGATTAGTGCGTCTGTAGGCTAGGCCAGCTGTATTTGGGCTACTGTACCCTGGGTGTGTCCTGTCCCTGAATGTGAATGGAAAAGCCCTTCAGAGCTCTCTTGTAGAGGCTGCATGCCTTTAATTGGATCAGGTTTTACTGGGGAGGCTCATCCCTTATTGCTGACCTGGATAGCACCCACGAATAACAACAGATATACACACAGGCACACGCACTGGTCACCGTGTTACAACTTGAAATAACTTCTCTCACCTGTACAAGTTCATTCAGTTGCAGTTCGGCTCCCTTTTGCCTCCCATATACTTCTCATTGATCACTACTGAAAGATCTGGGTTGGTGTGTAAGTGAACAGATCCGGCCCATGACCCCAGAGCTGGTCCGGCTGTGATCTGATTATAGGAGCTGACCCTGCTTTGATTGGCCTCCTGCTTAAGGGTCATTCCATTGCTGGCAAGGGAGGTAGAGGGGGACCAGGAGCAGTGGCGGCTCTGTAGCCTGGTATCGAATTCAATTAGGGCCTTAACACCGACACTCCACCCCTCTCCCCATTCTTAGATAATGATTTCCTGGAATCTGAGGTGGGGGGGAGAGACAGGCATGTGGCCACTTCTAAATGCCAGCCTATCTACTGGGAAGATCCCTTCTGATAGCTTTGATGCTGCATTATGCCAGAACGGCTCTATTGCTTAATGACTGTCTTGCAAGGAGAAAATCTGAAAGTACAGGCTATAATTCTTGTGGAAGTGTTCTTTCGGCATTAAGATGTGGTCTTTATTTGCGCTTTTAGAAGTCAGTCACCTTTTCTCCCTCTTTGGACAGAGTTTAAATGCAGTTGACATTTAAGTTTCTGAAATTTGACTTTGTTGTCTCTCTTTCATTTTGTATGCATGGATTTTTTTTACTTAGTTTTTTTTTATATCTGTGCAAAAAGACATTAGCTTGTCTGGAGGTGGGGTGGAAAGATCAAATATTTTTCAGAGGTGGTGAACATACGTAATGCGCACAGCTGTGTGTGTGTGTGTGTGTGTGTGTGTGTGTGGTGCTGGAATCCTCATGAATACTAGAGGGACAAGGTGAGATGAGAGGTGTGTACTCAAATGCACACACACACTGGCAGTGCAGAAGCTGCCAGCATCTCTTATTGATGGACCCCAGAGCAAGTAATAGGATGCATCTAGGACAGCTGTGCTTTTTTTTTCTCCTCTTTTTTTTTCTGCAGCGCTATGACTTTGATCAGAGGTCTCAAGATGGCCTTCTCCAGCAGCTCAGCATTTCTGCCCTCACCATTTTTTGTGTGTATTTGGTCTTGTTTATTTCAGATAATGCTTGCCATATTCTCTTCTGTTATTTTAATTTTCTCTATGGTTATATGGGGGCTGCATTAAGCTGTTACTGAATTTAGAATAAGCTGAAGTACGCTGCCCACTCCAATTGATCTTTTAGCCAGAATAATAGTTTTTTTAGCGTATACATTGTATTTACAATTAACAAGCATGCTTCAGTTCCAAAATCAGTCAGGTGTTGCTTGGAAAACAGAAATATTTATTAAAAACCTGACATTAATAAGAATGTTGCCATTGTGGGGACTATGGTGGTCATTAGCTCTGTTATTTTATTAGGTACTGTTAAGCTGTTGCAGTGATAGCATTTCACTGAAAGGCTATCTCATTTTATACCATATTGTATTTAAGACTTTTTTATAGAATGCTACTGGCAAAATTTTGCCAGTGAAACAGCATCTATATTGCCAGGCAAAACCAGCTCGGCAGGAGGGACCACCACAGTCACCATACAGTCACGTTAGCTGTCATGGTGGTTACAGTTAACGAACTGTGAGGAAAATCAGATTTGTCTGATTAGTTCTGTGTCTGACCAAAGAGGTTTGTTAAAAGGGAAAAAGAATGCAAAACCATCTCTAAGACAAGTGGCTAGTCAGGCCACAGGCTTTGTATTTTTGTAGCCGAAATGTTATGGCCAGGGGTCCCCGGGTGATAGGCAGTGTCTGCCCCTGATTGTGGTTGTGTATTGCAGTAGATGGAAACGTAGCTCAGGGCAGCAGCACAGATGCAGACGTGCACTGAACTCACTGCTAACTGTGCCGCAGCTGCTGCTGCAAGATGTCTTCCCAGACCTCTCACAGGAGTACCATTTAAGATGGCCTCCACTTGTGCTAAGGGTCCAATTAAGTGTTTTTGTGTGTGTAAAGGAGAGGGAGCTGTAGATCTTGAGAGGCTGCATGTTGCATGGTAACAGTGCTAAATTGTTTAGCTTATCTCACCTGAGGACAGGGGTAAATCGAGTGTCTTACTTGGCCAGTTGACTTTTCCGCTGCCCAGACGTTTTTTTTATTCATCTGGTGGCCGGCCAGCATTTGGCAGTGATATTTCACAGTTGGGGAGGAGATTAACACCAACAGAAGAGGTCTTTATCTAGGAATATTAAATTAGAGGAGGCATTTTATTTCTTTATTTTCTTGTCTTCATAGCCGGGGCTCTAATGAGAGTTCTCGATGATTGTCCATGCATATTACACATCAGTGGCTCATTAGCCAGAATGAGCAAGGAAGGGCCTCCCCCGTGAATCAACTGCCTTTTTAATTTCCCTTGTGGTCCGTCATCCTCCCTAGCTTGCACACACATACACTCGTTCACTTTTTTCCCCTTCTATCTCCTTACTCACTTTCTAACTGCACACACACACACCTTACAACCACCTAGCCACCCACGCACAGCCCTCCTGATACGCACACAGATCGCCTTCTCCTTTCTCATGTCCACAAGGTCCCTGGTTTCTGCAAGGCCTGTCTCATAACTGACTTGGCAGCTCAGAGTAGGAGAGCAGGGCAAGGTTGCAGGTTCAAATCCCAGGTGGCGCTCCTCTATATACCATTCTCTCCCTTGCCATTCTTCAAGGCCCTTTGCTGTAATATACAGCCAGCTGTGCAAATAATCGGCAAAGCTGTTGGCAATTATAGTCACCCCCAAATACGAGCTCATGATGGACATCTTAATAATGATTTATCCTCTGGAAAGGGCAAGCTTTCGGAGCATTCCAGACTTCTAAATAAGCCTTTAGTATTGATATTTACTCTTGGCATGGCATTAATGACCTGCTGATAATTCTGAAAGGTTGTACCTCCATGCTCGCAGCACTTAGCCAATAAGATCTACCCTTTTCGCTTCAAAAAGAAAACACACACACATGCCAAAGATTTCAGTGAGAATGGCCATAAATGGTCATTGATTGAGTTGAAGTCTGTATAGAAAGAGGGAGGTACATGCCATAACAGCAGCTAAATTATACAGCCCGCCAGAGCATAGTAATAAATTGTGGGGAGGTTTTTGTTTTTTTTATTATTTTTTTTATTGGTGCTTGTGCTAAGTATTATTTAAGCTTACTTTAAACGATACACTTTCCTTGCTGAGAGGCTTTTAACTCCTGTCAGCTTGTCCCAAGCCCTTCAGATATTGATGGGAGTATTGGAGGCTTGAACACATGCCAGCACGGGACCCCTGGTTGTTGGCTGCTGCAAACGACACAACATACTTGCACTTACACATTCTCTCAGAACTTCAGCCCAGCTGCTGCTGGAGTGTTTTGAAGTTTGATTTTCATGGGTGACTCATACATGGGAATTAACCAAACCCTAATGCAAGGGGAGTCTGTGTGCATTTTTATATGTATACAGTCCCCTCCACCATTATTGGCACCCCTGTTAAAGGTGAGTAAAAAGGGCTGTAAGAAATTCCCCTTTGCTGAATTAACTCAAAACGTCGGGAAAATACAACCTTTAATCAAAGAAATTTATTTTGAGGGGGGAAATCCTCATCAAGAAATATTTATTTTTAACAAAACTACAAATCCATAATTAGTGGCCTCCCTGCATTTAATCCTTTGTATTACCTTGTATTACATTTGCCAATATCACAGCACTTACTCTTCTCATATAACATATTATAAGGTTGGAGAATACCGACCAGGAAATTTGAGACCATTCCCCTTTATTCTCTCCAGATTGTCCAGTGTCCTAGGTCATGTCTTGTGCACTCTCCTCTTTAGCTCACCCCACAGGTTTTCCATGGCGTTTAGAAGGGGACTGAGATGGCCATGGCAGAAGCTTGATTTTGTGTGTCCAATGACAACCCATTTTTAGTTTCTTGGCAGATGTAAAATGTCCTGGTGTTTCATGGAGGCCTTGGTGCCATATACCATAACAAGGTTCCCAGGGCCTTTGGAGGAAAAACAGCCCCACACCATCACAGACCTCTGTACTTATCAGGTTCTTTTTAGTGTAATTTACTTCAGTTATTTTTCTCAGTTAGTGTAAGAGGGGACTGTCTGTGTGTGTGTGTGTGTGTGTGTGTGTGTGTGTGTGTGTGTGTGGCCGTCAAGCTCTTTTTGAAGGGGTTGAGGAGCAGGTGGTGTCAAGCCCATGAGCTGACATTCTAGTGCGTGCTGTCTGCATCTTACCTGTATCTTGAAAAGGCCTTGACAACTCATTGAATGTGTGTGCGTTTGTGGGTGTGCGTGCTCACAAATGCATGTTTGTGTCTTGACCTCTTTAGTTCAGCCTATTTCCTTTAAGGGCACAGCATTGGGCAGCCATGGCTTTTTCTCTATCAAAATCTGTTTTCATCATTGACTTCCAGCTTTCTTGGGTTTCCGGGTTTTTTTTCACCCAGCTGTGATTCTAAACTCGTCTTTCCTGTCTCCTGAGCTTCAGCCGACAGTTTCAAGTCTCAGTTCTTTCCCACGCAGCTTTTCTTAATAGCACGTGTGCTTTGACCAGTATGGAAACGTACGGGTTATTTTGTCTGTAATCGCTACCATGACAAAACCTGTTATCTCTGAAATGGTAACTTTCTAGGAGAAAGAAAAAGGGATTGACAATGATGTCAGAATCATATCAGTATCAGCAGATATTTACTTTAAAATTATTGTCATTGAGAAGATGTTTACATTTGACTTATTTCATCTGATATTTTATGTATTTATTGTACTCTGAAAGAGCAGAACGTTTAGACGTCACTTAACTACTGCTCTAAAATGTCTCCATTTTATTTATTTTACTGCATATGTGGACCTCATTTAATGGATTTCCCCATAATGCTAAAGCAGGTGGATCCAGTCCCAATTTCTGCATTTTAAAAGTGGTTTAAATCAGCAGATAAGTACATGGTGGAGTAAAATGTTGGATATTGACATCGGCCCACAATTCCCGTATTGGTGCATCCCTAATGGAAAAACGGTTTTGGACCATTTCTGTTAGTCAAAAATCTTTTACAAAATGTAAAGGCCAGCTTGTTTTTTTTTTTTAAAGAAGAAGCAGGAAAATAAATAAATAGTAAATGGAAACAGAAATGGAGATGAGATTTGTCTGTTTAATGAAGTTCAGTGTTTTGATATGACATCAGTGTTAATATCCGTCTCCTTGGGCTTACAGAAGCTCAGACTGTGCATGTGTATGTTTGGCCGATGGCCTGTCTTGGTGCGTGTTCTCTCTGGCCCACTCGTAGTATATCTCTCTGCAGCAGCAGCAGCTCCAGGCCCAACACCTATCTCACGCAGCTCATGGCCCTGTGGCTCTGCCCCCACACCCCTCGGGCCTGCAGCCCCCAGGCATCCCACCAGTTACAGGCTCTGGTTCGGGCCTCCTGGCACTAGGCGCTCTGGGCAGCCAGCCTCACTTGTCTGTGAAAGATGAGAAGAACCACCACGATCTGGAGCACAGAGGTAAGATACCTGCACATACAAGGCTCTAATGAAGACCAGGACACCACAACTCTGGCCCTTCAGCGGATTAAACCTTTGACTTGAAGGCTGTATAGCAGAGATTATCATTCTAAATGTTTATAATGTGACATTTGATGATAAAAGCATAAATAAAAACTTTCTTTAAGTAACATTTAGCAGATGTTAGGTTAAAAACATTTTCCCTTTTTCTATCTTCTAGTTATTATTCTGAGAATAATGTTTTTTTAGAACAGTGACAAAATGTGAAAAGCTTTGAAATTGTAATGAGAACATATTCGAACATAACTAGTTCACTTTGTCAGGGGCAGGAAAAAGGAAAGTTCCTGTTGCAGGTTTTTGTGAGTTCGAAAATGTAGCATTTTTTGTAGGTGATGAAACCATGTCTTAGTTGGACAGACTCACTAACTTTTGTTGTCTATCTCTTCTGTGTGTCTGGCCAATCTTAATATGTCTCTCTCCTCTAACCGGATGCTGTGACTACAGAGAGTACGGTGAGTGCCCAGTTTTCATTGGCTTGGCTCCCCTCTCTCTCTCTCTCTCTCTCTCTCTCTCTCTCTCTCTCTCTCTCTCTCTCTCTCTCTCTCTCTCTCTCTCTCTCTCTCTCTCTCTCTCTCTCTCTCTCTCTCTCTCAATATATATATTCTTACCCACTCTCTCTCACTTGCTCTTGTTCTGTCTCCTGCTTTTCTGCTTTGTCTCTCATTCTTCCTGCATGAAAGAGCTTCTTGGTCTGTTTCACGCCTAAGAAAATTTCCATTAATGTAAATGTCAAATAAGACTCCTTTTGCCTGAAACACGCACAAGTTGCACTCCGTACAGTAATCTGCTTTCATTAAAGTGACTAATGGGGAAATGAGTGTTGTTGTTTTTTTTTGTTTTTTGTTTTTTTTTGAAAATGAAATAAGCCCTCACTTCTCCACGCAGATGGGAAAAGACTCGTATTACAGTGTACGGATTAGTGCTGCTCCCTAATTTCGGCACAATTAAAGACGACTTTCTCTTCTCCCCTCTTAGCAGATTTATTTGATCCTTCCCAGTCCCCCCACACCACCTCACTCACTGTCTCATCCCTGTTTACTGCCTGTTTTCCTCTATCCTTTTTTTGCCTGGCCAATAAATATGCATGAACACAGGCAGTGGAATTGTTTTCTTGCCTCTGATCCCCTTGTAAAAAGCGTTTATTTGACGTAGGCTTAAATCTCTCCGATGGCTGATTGTGGCAGCGAGATTGGATTTCTGACGGTCCCTGCCAGGGCTCAATGGGTGCAGTCATGTCTAAAGGAAAAGAAGCTCCCCTAGCAGTTAGCGGCCCAGGGCCCTTGTGAGTGTGTGTGTGTGTGTGTGTTGCGGCTGCTGTTGTCTCAGGTCATCTGATAGCATAGTGGTGACTCTGTTTAATGAGTCACGCTAAGCATCTCTTTAAAAGGTCAGGCATTACACACACACACACACACACACACACACACAGGATGGTGGGCCTTCTGCCCAGTCTGCTACTTAATCTCACTTCTCAGCTTAGTTTCCTTTTACACTTGCTGTGAACTTAGGCTTTTTTGCTGTCTGTTGTGTTCTGCACACTCTCTGAGCTGCGAGGGAAGCCTAAGAGAAGCTCTCGGTGTTGGATTATGTTGAAAGTGCCCAGAGAGCACTCCAGAAAGGTCTCTCCGCTTTACTGGCACCTCTTTTCAGCCATTGGCCATGCGTACTGATGACCTCTGAGTATGTGCCACAGGAACAAGGAAGAATCCCGTCCTTTTTGTAGAACGTAGGGGTTTTCTACAGAGGAAATACTTGTCTTAGTCTGCTGGAGGCAGGCCAGCCATGTTGTACTGCCATGTGTGTGGTCTCACTTTTCTTCGTTTGAGTGGGCCTGGAAATAAACTGAGGCAGAGGAAGTTCCAGTGGACAGAAGCTAACTGCTGGAGAGCAGCTGCCTGCCTATGGCCACAGATAGCTCTATGTTCGGCTGTCTGTAGCCTAGCAGCTCCACAGGCCTGGAGTCAGAGCCAGGAGGTGCCCAAGCACGCTACAGCAATCAATGGCCATTACATGGTCCTACACACACACGCAGAGCCAATCCAAGCCTGGCTGCTCTCAGATAAAGAGCTGTTGTTCAGGACTAGTACACTGCTCATGTCTTCCTGAAGCTGTTTGTTGTCTCTTTTAGGAATGGAGGGAGGAGGGGGGTTGGAGGGGGCTGTGAAAACAAGCCCCTCTCTTTGGTCTGCTTAACTGTGGCTGCTCTGTTGTGTAGCCAGGACATTCTTGTGTGTTTAGTCTAGTGTAGGTTGTTAGATACGGCTTGGCTAGTTTCAGTGCTTTGTGTTAGACCTGTTTTGGGGTTTGATGGTGGCTTATTGGAATGAATAGCCCTCTTCTGGCTTTTTAAAATGTGTGGGTTTTGGAGTGATGAGAGCAACCTTGTTTTCCGTTTTCCCCCTTTCTTTCTTTTTTTCTCGCCTCACTATTTCCCATGTTGGATCCCTTTCAGGACCCACAGCTGCAAAGTACCCGTCATTCTGTCTGCAATTGTTTTCTAATCTGGCTTAATTAATAATGTTGCCACAAGGCATATTACCAGTGAGAAATAAAATAAAATTTTTTAAAATAAAATTGGGGTTTTGGAAACTGTTGTTGTTATAGATGATATTATAACAATTAAATGATAAATCTTGCTCTGTGATGTTTTCTCAGAGAGTATTTTACAGAGAGGATGCATAATCATCAGTTCCTTTAATATTTCTGTTATGTGTTCCTTCTTCAGAACAACTCCATCTCTCCATCTGATAGCCTGCGTACCTCCAGTGAGAAGCATCGCGGCTCCTCAGATTACAGCCTGGACTCTAAGAAGCGCAAAATGGAAGAGAAGGACAACATGAGCAGATATGTGAGTCTGGAGGATGAAAGCTTATGAACGTTTCTGTAGTGTTAATTGTGTGTGGGAGGTTGACAGATTGATCTTTTAAACAGGACAGCGATGGAGACAAAAGTGATGACCTTGTGGTCGACGTTTCTAATGAGGTGACTGTTTATTTATTTTACAATTATGAATTGGTTTGTTTTTCAATCTTTATGCAAAAAACTAAATAGCACCAAATTTAGTCAGTTCTAGTAAAACAGTGGTGTGATTATGATTGAGCTTAGTGTTTTTAATCTGTTATTTCTTTTTGTGGTATTTTCGTTTTTGTAGGACCCTGCCACACCCCGAGCAAGTCCAGCTCACTCCCCACCAGAGAATGGCATAGACAAGCCCCGCCCTCCGAAGAAGGACACACCCAACAGCCCTGCATCTGTGGCCTCCTCTGGCAGCACACCTTCCTCCAAAACCAAGGAGCACAGCCATGTAAGGGCACATGCACAAACATGCATGAGCTCACTCCTTTCAATGTTGAACACCATTCACCTTCTAGGCACTCTGGATTTTGTGACAGTTTGTGTCACTTATGGGGCATGTAATAAAGGGGAAAGAAAGCGGGAGTGAACCAGACAGAACTAAATAGATGCCACAGCAGTGATCTTTCTGTGGTGTGTCTGTCTCACTCTCTATCTCTTTTTCTTTCTTGCTCTCTCCTCTCTCTCTCATTCTGACTAATGGCTTAGGAGTGAATGTCTGTTTCCCAGCCCCGTCTTTAAATACATCTGTAAATGTCAGGGATAATGCATTCCCATAGCAGGATCAGTCGTGTCTGCTCTGCTAATAACTCAATGCGTTTAACCATTCTAGGCCTTCTGCCTCGGCAAAAAGATTAAAGGGAAAAAGCGGGGGATAGGATAAAAATGAGCCTCATCTCCATTGTAGCAGTAATGGGTTTTGGGATAAATAGCGGGGTTTATAGCTCGTAGGAGTAGCGGGTTTGTCAGAATTGGATTGGATTAAGTTCAGCCAGCACTCAAATCTTCTGCCTGGATGCTGCCTCACTTTTCTGAGGATTTCTCTGTTCTGTCTGCCCCCCCCCACACACAGAATGACAAATCCTCGACGCCTGGTCTCAAGTCCAACACCCCCACTCCACGTAACGATGCCCCTACCCCTGGCACTAGCAGCACGCCGGGGCTGCGGCCCTATCCTGGGCAAGCCCCCCATGGAGGCTCTGGGTGAGTATGACCTACACACCCACATAACGCTCCAAAAAACCCTCTTAGGATCTCTCTTCAATGTGCTACATAAGTAGATGATCACATGACTATAAGAGAAGGGCTGTATATGAAAACTAAAAGTTTCCTTCAGGCTTGTCTCTGATCAGAAAGCTGAGGAGCTGTCTTGCGGGGGTCTCTGTACCTTAGTCTGTAAGGTTCAGTGCAGGTTGATTGAGATGGATCGCCATTCTGGCTCCTCTGCCTGTCCTTGACGGATTCTGATTTATGATTGGCTCCGTGTGTCTGTGTAGCTGCTCCTGCACTGCGCACACCCCTTTCCTACCCGACGCCTTTTGCCATGATGGGCCACCATGAGATGAACGGCTCACTGACCAGTCCTGGCGTCTATGCTGGCTTGCACATCTCGCCTCAGATGACCGCGGCTGCTGCTGCCGCCTACGGCCGCACGCCCATTGTAAGTATTTGTGTGAGTGAATGCGTACCCTCACTAAAGTTAACTTTTAGGGGTGCACGACTGCAATCAGACGATTTTTACTGCTGACACAGCGATTTTTTTTTGTTTGTGGCCAAGCTGTGATTTTATGACTACTGTAATATGAGCCGGCCAAGTACATGCACACTGCATTTAAATTTGTGCGTTTGTGTATATGTAAGGCTTACCCACCAGCTGTACATTTACGTGGTCACAAGGGCAAGCTTTAGGTAAAAAGCAAATAATATTTTTGTCTTTGTTGCTTATTCTTTTCAACTAAAATAAACTAGGTTTTGGGTACACCTTTCTGACCTTAACTTGATCCTTTATTTATTAATTTCTGATGGAGTGTAAAATAAGTATATTATCTGGGCTTTCAGGCAACCTGGCTGTCTGGTTTTTCATTGCGTCACTGTTACTATTTTACAGCATATATCAGTTCAGACCAAATGTAGTATATATTATGCTACTTGCACATTATCAGTGATGGTAATATAATGCAAGGCTTGTAAAGGTTGTACAGCCATGTATTGAACTAATGTTACTTTATTTCTTTTAGGCCGGCTTTGAGCATCCTCATATGAGAGCCCCAGGCCTCCCTGCTAGCCTCACCTCCATCTCTGGGGGAAAGCCGTAAGTGTTCTTTAAAGATGACCTCATCTAGAGCCTTCCCTTCACAGCTCTATTTATGTAGCAGCACCATACAGAAAACCTTTTGCTAGTCTTAACCCATTTCAGACCACTCACTCATTGCTCTAATTGATTTAATGAACCCACTTCAATCAGTAGTCATGCTGTGGACTACAGGATAAATAACTAAGGAGACTCTTTCATTTAAATGTTTTCTCCTTTTCTCTCTCAGGGCCTATTCCTTTCACGTCAGTGCTGATGGGCAGATGCAGCCTGTCCCCTTCCCTCCAGATGCTCTGATTGGCCCCGGAATCCCACGCCACGCCCGGCAGATCAACACTCTGAGCCATGGTGAGGTGGTGTGCGCTGTTACCATCAGCAACCCTACACGACACGTCTACACTGGTGGCAAGGGCTGTGTCAAAATCTGGGACATCAGCCAGCCTGGCAGCAAAAGCCCTGTGTCCCAGCTCGACTGCCTGGTAAGAACTGAAACCTCTATAGGAGCCATTTACTGTTATCGGTGTAAATATGGACATGCATTATTGAAATACCTTGAACATTTGGAAGTTAAAGTGGCATACATAATGCATAATTTAATATTTGTATACTAGGACTTTTGCCAACATTACCCTGGCTCTCTTTATCTGGACAGAATAACTTTGGTGTTTTGAACACAACTCATTCACTTTTCTTTTCCCACAGTTGCCAAATCATGTAAATACTAGCTCAGCTTTGTTATTAAGAGTGCTGGGTAACATTGCATAAATTGCATTCAGTATGCAGTGTTATGCAAAACTTTTGCATTGGCAGTGCTTTGGAATGGATTTGGCTTACTGTGTTGCTCTTCTCCGGATCAGAACCGGGATAACTACATTCGTTCCTGCAAACTGTTGCCCGATGGACGCACTCTGATCGTGGGTGGTGAAGCCAGCACTCTGACCATCTGGGACCTGGCCTCGCAGACACCTCGCATCAAGGCTGAGCTGACCTCTTCAGCCCCAGCCTGCTACGCTCTGGCCATAAGCCCTGATGCCAAGGTCTGCTTCTCCTGCTGCAGTGATGGCAACATCGCTGTCTGGGACCTCCACAACCAGACTCTTGTCAGGTAAGCCCTTGGTCTTGACTCTGTTTGAAAATTGTGGTAAGCGTGATTGGTATTATTGGAGTGAAGCTGATTACCCCATTGCCTTGTGGGTATTATAGGCAGTTCCAAGGCCACACAGACGGTGCCAGCTGCATCGACATCTCACACGATGGTACTAAGCTATGGACAGGAGGCCTGGACAACACTGTGCGTTCGTGGGACCTGAGAGAGGGCCGGCAGTTGCAGCAGCATGACTTCACCTCACAGGTAAAAATCCCTGCTCCCTACATAGTAGGGCTCCAGCAGTTACAGTCTGTAATGTTTTTGCTGTCATTCAGCCAAGTTGCAATACACCACAGTAAGCAAAATGGCTTCTTTTTAGGGCTGCAACAAATACATGTAAGTAAAATATAAAAAAAAAGAAAAAAAAGAAAAGAACTTCTGTGGAAAAAGGTTTATTTATCAAGTCAAATGCTAGCTTATCACCCATTAGCTACCAATAGCCCATATCTGCTAGCGCTGCACACGAGACTCATTGGAGATTACAATTTGGCACAGCTTGCAAGACTTTTACAATTTGGAGAGACAATATTGGTCTTAACTCCAACTGCAGTCCAGATATGTTTGCTACCTATCATGTTCTCAATTGCGTTTACTACCAAGTGTAAATGAGAGTCTGCAGGTTAGTTGTCCAGTGCTGTAATAAGATTATTCAGACTGCACCAGGTGACAAACCAATGTGGCTGAGATTAGCTTTTGCTTATGTATAAAGTGGCTTATAGCAGCCTCAAATCCTTGATCGCTCCGCTGAAGAGTTGATGAAGAAGTTTTCTTTTTTAAGATGATGTTAAAAAAGACAGTTTCCTCTACTTTCCTACACTGCTCACTGCTGCACAGAGCCAGCAACATGATGGGCGTTATGAAAGAATAAATTGCTTGTTGCACAGCTAGAACCTTGAATAATGCCAGCAAAGGAAGTGGAACAGAAGAAGACATGACTAAGAATGTCCAAAGATCGAGAGCTTTTTATCTGCAATACTAACACCTTAGTACAAATCAGTATATGTAAAGTGAAAATGGCTTCACAGCAGTACACGGATGATGCTCAAACATTTAAAATGAAAGCACGTGTGTTACATGTATGTTTACACTTAGATTATTTGATTAATTGTGGAAAAAAATTATGGGAATAATCTTTGAAGCCTTGTAACATCCGTCACTATTGTTAAAGATCTCTGTGTCCTATTGACACTCTGTTCTTGTCCCACATACAGATTTTCTCGCTGGGCTACTGCCCAACGGGCGAGTGGCTGGCTGTGGGCATGGAGAGCAGCAATGTAGAGGTGCTCCATCATACGAAGCCTGACAAGTACCAGCTCCACCTGCACGAGAGCTGTGTGCTCTCACTCAAGTTCGCCTACTGTGGTAAGATACTAAGAAATATTGACATTACCTTGATTAAAAGGACGGACAGTGCCACAGCTGCCAAAAGTGTACCATTCATTCTGTAGCTGAGGGGGGAAAAGTGTTTATAACTGCAGTTTAATGACATGAGATTGCATACATTTGTCTTGGAATTAACTTTAATTGCATGTGTCTTTGCTTTCCATTGTTTTCTAAGAAGCAAACTAGTTGATGTTTACGCATGAACTGCGTCTCTCAATTGAACAGAACCTTGACCGTCCTAACCCATTAAGCCTGCCTTCAGTCGCTTTGCACATATCTCTATTTAGCTCTCTCTTGCCTCGGCAGCCCGGCAAAGCTCTAATTACGTTTGATTTCCCTTGACAAGGTAAATGGTTCGTGAGCACTGGGAAGGACAATCTGTTGAACGCATGGAGGACTCCCTACGGCGCCAGCATATTCCAGGTACAGAGATCAATACAGGCTGTCTGCAGGAAGCTTGTGGGCAGCCCAGCTTTGCCCTAGAGGGCGGAGTGACCGCTGGCTGATGGACAGCGCGTGTATCAGCGGAAATGGGCCAGAGTGTGTCATTAACGCAAGGGCCCTGACCACTTAGGCAGGATGTGGGCCCGCACACACAGCCGCTGTCCACCAGTAAATAACGCTAACCCTTCAAGTGTTTATGGCTCGAGAGGTCGGCACAAGAGCTAATGCAGTATGATGGTGCAGAGAGAAGTGCTTATGTATACAACTCTTAGTGTTTTTGCTTTGAGTGATTGGTTGGGGGACGGAAGGGGGGTGCTTGTGAGTCATAGCTTCATGCAGTTCTACCATAGGACAATAAGTGTTTTGACAGTTTAATTTCAGCCGACTCACTTTTTTTCTTCCTCGTTGTACATCTTTTGTCTCTCTCTCTCTTTCTTCTGTTCCACTAGTCAAAGGAATCATCCTCAGTCCTGAGCTGCGACATCTCAGCAGATGACAAGTACATCGTCACCGGCTCTGGCGACAAGAAGGCCACAGTGTATGAAGTGATCTACTAGAAAGAGAGGTAACTGAGTAGAGAAGCTCAGGCCGTGTAGAGTGAGACCGGAGCGTTTGGGGTGCCGCCCTCCTCCTCACTCCAACGACTCTTCTAGTCAGACAGACAGGACAGCACCTGTCTGCCTGACTGTCTGTCAGTCTCATCCCCCATCACCCAATCATGGACAGCCTGACTGACAAAAGCCTGGATTAGTCATGTATGGGCTGGAATGAACTGGACTGGGGTGGACTGGACTGGACTGGACAGCCTTCAGCCACTAATGCTTCTTACGTGCTCATCTCTCCCTCAACCACCACACCCAGCGCAAGTCAAATGGCACTAGAGAAGAGAATACCTTTTAAAAAGTACAGTGAGAATGTTCCATACTGCAGCGTGAAGCGGCGCTTCGTTCTGAAACTTTATCCATTTGGAGGTTCTGTGAAAAGTGTACATAATGGAGTATTAAAAGGCCTTTTATAGATTTATATTTTGGTGTCCAGTTACATTTGTGATGGTTCTTTCTCTCTCCCCACCCCCTTCCTCTCCTTGATGCTTTGTTTTTCCGCTGGGGCTTGGAAATTAGATTAGGACTTTTTTTTTGCTAAGGATATTCTATCTCTTTTCTTCTGCAAAGTTCGTATTCCAGGCTAACCTTTTTATGGAAATCTAATTTACTTTCACCCCCCCTCTCTGAAAAACAATTTTGAGCTAGATCACATTTCAGAGATGTTTTTTTTTTAAAATGTCCTGTGGATCTTGCCCCTCCTCGCGCTGGAGAGCTCTTGCCTTAGCAGTCCTCTAAAGCACCTGAGGCAACAGCTGTTGCTCAGCATTAAGAGCAGTTCCTGTGAAAGAAGGGCGGACACTCAAGACTCCACCTGATGGGGAGTGACTGTTCTGACTTCCTCCAGGCAGCCTCCTAGAAGACAGGCCAGCTTCCTCCAGAAGAAGAACCCTTTGTTGTGGACAGACATGAGGATTATGGAATGTTTGATTGTACAGTCTGACCGGACTCTTCCATAGCGGCCTCTGAGAAGACAGGCCAGCTTCCTACAGAGGAAAAGCCCTATGATGTGGACAGGCATGTGGAATACATTTGATCGTACTGTCTGACAGGAGGACCCTTCCATAACCTGTGACTTCATTGCATTACTGTATGAACAGGACACAGCATCTTGTCTTGTAGTGGATGGACATGATTTGGATGAATCAGTTAATATTTCCTCAGCCCCCATGATGTTCTCTGGGGTTTGTGTGCATAGTGTCTTGTATGCAAGAAGCACAGAGTCTGCTAACATCTCGGCAGCTAAGCCAAACAAAGCGTAAAGGCCAAGACTAACGTGCAGGCTTTTATGAGATGATTGGCCAAGTTGTCCTTCACATCCCTCTATTGTTGACCTCCCCTCCCTTTTACATAGAGTCTGAGGATACAGTCACGTCTCAACACACACCAAAGTATGTAGCAAACTGTGTTGTCACTGAAGATATGTACAGTTGTTGATAATTCAATAAACTGTTTTTTGTATAAAAAGAAGGAATTAATGCTGTTTATTCTATGTTTTCTGCGTGTAACCTGTGTTCTCAATGTCACATGAAATCACAGGCTGTTTCTAAGGTGGCACTGGCAGGGTGATCAGTTGAGAAGTGAACTTATTTAAAGCCACTTAAAGGAAGCATGACGCAAACCATGCTCTCCAGCCTCTCAATGTTCTATTGCAAGTGGAGTACTTTTAGGGGGCTGGCGGAGATGAATGCCCTCTCCAGTCCATTTCTCCCTTGCTGTTCCTCTGCAGAACCCAGGCTTTCGCTTTGAGCCCCTCTCCTGGCTGCCTCTTCCGTAATGTTGTTGTTGGCTAATAAAAGCCAAGGCGGATGCTTTCAGCTCTGAGGCAGTCTTTCTCTCTCTCTCTCTCTCTCTCTCTCTCTCTCTCTCTCTCTCTCTCTCTCTCTCTCTCTCTTTCTCTTTCTGTCTCTTTTCCTCTCTTTAACCCACCAACCACCCCCCCACTCCTGAAGTGTGCATTTGTATGGAGGCTCCCCTTCTCTTTTCCAGCTTTCTTCATCTTCTCTCAATCAAGCAGCTGAGTGGCCGTGCGGGGATGAAAGCTCTCAGCCCGTTTAGGGTGCTTGACACTGGGTGCTAGAGGAGGCCATGGGGTGCCTATTGTTCCACCCTCCATTGATCTTTCTCCCATGGCGCTATGTTTTTAGCACTTCTTGTACACTATCTAGACGGTTTATGGTCCCTGAAACTCCTATCACCTGTTTTTAATATGGTTGATGGTGTTACAGATAATTTAGCTCAGTATAAAAAAGACATGCAGTTTCTTTGTTTTGTATGTGAAGCTTGCTGGCAAGCAGAAAATCAGTTAATTCTAAAATCATCCATTGCTTTTAGAGTCCACTGTTAGTTTTAGAATACCACCTGTGTTTTTGCTGTCCTACAGTGATTCATGCAGCAGTGGTTGTTCCAGCATTAAGCTAAGGTTAAGTAACTGGTTACCTCTGTATTTACCAGCAGTCTACACCAGTGAAGATCCAGTATACATCAAAAGGGGCTGCAGTACAGCTTTTCCTTCATCCAGTACTTCCTTTTTTCCCCCTTTATTTGAATGCTCTATTGCACATTGGTGTGAGTTGAGGCATGGCCTGTGCATAACCACTGGCTAACATGCCACACTGCGTTCTCTGGCTGCTTTCGTCCCCTCTGTGCTCTTTAGCCAGCGGAGATGATGCTGTTTGGGTGGGTGAGAGGCTGGCACGGTGCTGAAAGACAGAGTAATAATCCCCTAATCACCTGAGCGTTGCCAGGCCGGGGCTTTATCTGCCGCAGATGCGAAAGCCCCCTCGGTGCAGTGTGATTACAGCGTTTGATCTGGGTAATAATGTCTTTACTGTGGCCCAGCCTCAGCCCTGCGGGCACCGCTCGCCTTTAATCCACACAGTGCATTCTAGTGGAATCGTGTTACACAAAGACCACCAGAGTTTCTCTGCAGACTGGGGGAAGGGGAGGAGAAATGGAGGTTGCCATGGAGACAGAGCCTTTCTCCCTCTCTGTTTCTCTTTTTCCCTTATTCTCTGTCCCTTCCTCACTACTATTTTCTTCTCTCTCTCTCTCTCTCTCTCTCTCTCTCTCTCTCTCTCTCTCTCTCTAAAGATAAGCATGAGGACAGGTTTCTGTGTTTACTCAACACAGTAGGGTCCTCCAATCCCTGAGCAGGGCTGACCCTGATAACACTTGGCCGCTACAGCAGCCGACCACTGACAGCTGATAAGCGGCAGCACCGCTCTCTCTCTCTCTCTCTTGCTCTCACCGCCTCACTCACTCACTCTTTCTACACATCTGCGTGCACTGTGTTCATTTGGATTAGTGTGGATTGGATTGGATTACCCCCTCTGTGTTCAGAATGCTGATGTCCAAAAGTACAGCACTGTTAGTGTGGGAACTTCTCTCTGTTCTTCCGCCCTTCCCTCATTCCAAAATGCGCCTTTGACGACCTTGATTAACTTGATGCTATAATCTTGTAATACAATCTACAGCAAAGCAATCAGCCAGAACGGCAGTCGCTGACCTGAATCGTTTTGGCTGGCAAGTCAGCATTCCGAAGGTTCGAGGGTAGATATCTGAGTAATCTACATTCCTCTCTGTTTTCAACCTGTACTTCCCTGCCTGTCTGTGAACTCTGTCATATGACAGGGCCTTTCCGTCCCCTTGACGTGGCTAATTTGCCTTGATTAGAGTCACACAAAGTGGTTGTAAAAGAAGAGGTATTTTCAGGCTGCGCCGCTAGGCCCCAGCTTTGTATTCGTTCCAAGTAAGCATTGAATTCCAGGGAGTAATTAGATATCGTCCGTAATAAGATTTGTGTGATATGTTTTGCTCCAAGAAGGTACCAGTACTCGCTCACTTTGATGTTTAGATCAAGACAAGCACAAGAACCCTTTTATGGCGCACATTAAGCTAATATGATAATTACATTTTCACACAAATGCTAGGGTTTTAGGCACAGCTGGGGGTAGGAAAAAACATGCATATTTACCAAGAAACATGGAACAGATATTACTTCCTGCAACAAAATGTTCAGTGTTTCTGTTTGGCTAGCCTTAGCTCATCAATCCCAGCCCATATGTGTACATATTTGATTTGTGGAATGGTTAATTTCCTGTGTTTTAGTGAGAGTGTTATGAATAGCATTTGGCGCAGTGCGGACGGTGTCTCTAAACTTGATTGTTTATGAAACTGTGTAGAATTGCTTTGTTCTGTTTTCAGCAATAATCAGGGTGCTTTTGATAAAAGATGTTTTGCTTCAAAAAGTGATTATTATTATTATTATTATTATTATTATTTTACATTTAAATACAATATCAATAGTGGATATTTCAGCATTGATTTCACTGCTTAGGACACAACCAGTTGGTTATTATTTGAACCATAAATAGCCAGCGTACAGACACGCTTAAACATAGTTTAAATTAAATTGTCACGCAAACAGATGTCATTAGGTTCATGTTTGTTTTCTGAAGCTGGTTCGATTTCTAGTCTCCAGATGCTGGACTTCTCCATGTGGAACTGCTTAGGTGGACAGGATGAGTCATATAATGAGTTCCATTTAGGTAATAATTACCTCTAATGGGATCCTAAGCAGGGTCAGGTCCAAGCCGAACAGTGGCTAATTTAAAATAATTGCTGTGTTCTCGTTCCCACTCTAATCAACCTAATCCATTTGTATGGTTTTATTTGTAGTTATCTGCCACATCTTTAATTAACCATATTATCTGGCAAGGATAGTGTTTTTATGAATAAGGACCTTGAAAGCAAACCGTTGAGGTAAATTGTTTAAAGAAAAAAAGTTTACAAATGCATATTGTTCTGGTAGTAGGTTAGTGTTTGTGATGGGGCGCTGATGTCAGTAGTATTAGCCAAATATTTCTATTATTTAGATGTTCCCTTTAGCACGTGTGTTCTTTGTGGATTGCCATCAGACCGTGGAGAGTAGAGGGGTGGTTTCAGTGGACAGAAATAATACATTTGAAGGTCACAGTGAAAGTAGCGACTCCCCTCTGCTTTTACAGGCAAATGCTGGCCACCATCATTCGTGCATCTCTAACGCGTAGGCAAATCTACTGCTGGGTTGAAGTTTCTTTCTGCCAGGAACGCTGGAAGCAGACAAAGATTTATTATGCTCCTTTGGAAGGCTTTGCACTCGTAGTGTTTTATTGGCAAATTTCATGTTTCTGTATTTAAATGTTGTTCTCGATTTGTTTCACAAAAAATCTTAATCTGATCGTTTGGATCATTCAAACAAATGTTTTGAGCATGAGGTATGAATGATTAGCTATGCAAAATCTGATGGCTGAGCCTGATTTGCCTTCCCCAAGGTAGCCATGCTCATTGAGGCATGCAAAGGGCAAATGCACTCAGCCGAATGTGTGTATTTTAAGCAGATGTATGCAAAACCTAAGGGCTAGTAGTGCCTGTGGTTGTACTTAACTAGAATGATTCACTGCTACATACAACATGCACTATAAACCTGAGACCTCATTTTATCTTTTAGTTATGTTCAGAGAGAGAGAGGCCATAATAACATTGTC